CCCCCCCCCCCCCCCCCCCCCCCCCGGGGCCAGCCAGGGCCCCTCACCGGCAGGCAGAGGCGCAGGGCTGAGCGCAGCATCCGGTCCATGTTGAGCCAGGGTCGGAAGAGGCGCACACGCTGGTCGCTGCCTTTGAACGCCTTCATGCCCTCGAAGAGCTGCAGGGACAGGTGGGTGGGTCACTGAGCTCAGAGACCACCGTGCGGAAGCCGCGAGACACATCGGGAGATCCCAACACAGCGCCTGATACACAAGGATTCAGACACAGATGCAGAGACAGAGCCGAGAGACCAACACACTGAGCGCAGAGAGGAAGGGAAGGGGGACGAGAGAGACGGACAGAGAGAGCCCAGAAACAGCTGGACACCCACAGCTGGAGGTGCCGAGAGATCGCCCTGCTTAAACCCCTTCCATGTTACTGGTCCGATTTCTCAGGAACAGTGATGGCATGCAAGTTCTGTTTTTAAAGACTCCTTGCGGGCATCTGGGTGGCTCAGTCGTTGAGCGTCTGCCTTCGGCTCAGGTCATGATGCCAGCGTCCTGGGATCGAGCCCCGCATCGGGCTCCCTGCTCAGCAGGAAGCCTGCTTCTCCCTCTCCCGCTCCCCCTGCTTGTGTTCCCTCTCCCGCTGTGTCTCTCTCTGTCAAATACATAAATAAAATCTTTAAAAAAAAAAAAAAAAGCCTCCTTGCGTTCTTGAGAAGCACTGAACTCGCTGTGGATGAAATACTGCATAGCCCAGGATGTGCTTCAAAATCTTACAGGAAGGGGGCACGACAATGGGAGTCCAAACGAAACGAGAGGGTGACCCACAGGTGCTAGCTGATGAAGCAGGGTGGTCGGCGGGGGGCTTATATATTATTCTATTTTTATGTTTGAAATTTCCCATAATAAAAACTTAAAAAAAAATCTCTACACCCTACGTGGGGCTCCAGCTGATGACCCTGAGATCAAGAGTCACGTGCTCGACTGCCTGAGCCAGCCAGGCGCCCCCAAAACATTTGTTAAAGTACAAAACAACAACAACAACAAAAACAACACAAAGTTGATCCGCACCCCCAGCTGGTTGTTGACCTTGGCCTTCGAGGCCTCACAGGATCTGGCCCCTCTTATTTCAGTCTCCTGAGGCTGACACTGCAAACCGGTTACTAGGGATAAAATATGTTCATCCAAATTCTTGTCACCACTGAAGCTTCCTCAGGAAGACTCTGCTCTCAGTCATAGCTTTAAGTCATAACCTGGATGCCTCCTGGATATCTTCCTTAAAGGCCCCTCACCGAGTCCTGCAAAGCCAGTCTCCTGCTGGGTCCCCAACAGGGGGACAGCACCCTGGCCTACCTGGTCACCTGGCCAAACCTCTGGGCACCACTTTCGGGCCCTCCCTTCCCTGCTCTTGTCCAGCCTCCAGGCCCAGCTCAGGCCTCCTGGCCTCCAGCTCATCTTCTATCCGGCCTGAGGGGGTCTCACTACACCCAGAACTGACCCTGCTCCATGCCTGCTCAGAGCGTTCCAGGCTCCCAGTGCCCTTGACAAGGTGCCAGCCCCTCAGCCCCTCTGCCGCCCTGATGGACATCCTCAGCCTCCTCTGCTATGTTCCAACCCCCCAATTCCTCCGATACGCCGGGCTCTCCTTTGTCCCGTGGTTGCTCTGTCTCCTGCTAACACGCTAAGCTTCCTCTGCCAGACGGGACCCTACTTCCTTTCAAGTTAGAGGTAGGATTGGTGCCTCTCCTGGCTCCTAGAAGCCTCAGGTGCCTCCTTCAGAGCATGACCGCACGGGGCTGTAACCAAAACGTGGGGTTTTCGAGTAGAAGAACGGGGTCTGTTCTTGTTGGGGATCCCGGCATCAGCCAGCATGGGGCCTGGAACACGATACCTCAGAGAACACATCTTGAGCAAGAAGAAAGAGACAAGAGCAAGCCCCGGGCGGTGGACCCCGCAAGCGACAGGGCAAGAGGGAAGCGATGCAGAGAGACAGGGAGAGAGGTTGGCGGCCATGCCTGCATCGAGTAGTGGAGGCCAGAGCAGGCGGGGTGCAGCGTGAGGTTCTGGAAGGGCTGGATACGGGGCTGGCTCCAGCCCTTCTCCTCCTTCCATTCCACCATCAGCATGTGGTCAGTGAATATCTTCCCAAACACCAGGGGCTTGCTGGGGTCTGGCTTCTGATGAGGCTCCCGCGTCAGTTCCAGCTGCAGGTCTGCAGCCTGAGAAAAGACAGGGGACCCGGGTATCTTGAAATCTGGTCGCAACCTCAAACTGAAAAAACTACAACTCCCATGAGCCTCTGGGGCTAAGACCCAAAGAGAAGAGAGAACTGTAGCCCCAGAGGCTTGTGGGACATGCAGTATCAAATCTCTCCCACAGCCTTATGGCAGACTATTAGGACCCCATTGCCAACCACCTTCACCTTTGGACCCTGGACCCTTTTGGAGATGCCCAAATCCAGCTGCCAGCCCCTTCCTCAAACCTAAGAGTCCTGGTGCCCAGCCCCTCTTTGAGATCCCACAGTACATTCCCCTCCATTCACCTTGAAGTTGGATGAGGCATATCTTCTGGGGCCACACAGAAGCCAAGAGACAGGGAGGAGTTTTCGGGCCCAAATCTGGGGGTGGGGACAGAAGTAAGAAAGGTGGTGAGGCCAGGAAAAGTAGAGAGGAGCAGGGGCTCCGGGGCCCGCTTTGCCGCTGCGCACTTGGAACGTCCCTCTGGCCTGATCTGTCCCAGGCCCAGTGCCTTCTAGACGGACCATGTGGCCCTGGACAAGTCGGCTCCCCTGTCAGGCAGCACCTAGTGGGAGAGAATCCTGAAGGAGGCCAAGTCCCCTCCCTGTCCTCACAAGGACAATCCCTAGAAAGGGCTGAATCAGCTCCTATCCCCTCCACGCCAGGGCAAAGTCAAACACAGGCACCTCCCACCTCTGGGAACTTTGGCCCCAGCCCTGAGATCAGCTCAGACAGAAGACTGCAAGGCAAAGTGCACAGGTAAGTGAAGGCCTCCCTGGGGGACCCAAATCCTGGTAAGAATTAGAAAAGTGAGGGGCGCCTGGGGGGCTCAGTCATTAAGCATCTGCCTTCGGCTCAGGTCATGATCCCGGGGTCCTGGGATCGAGCCCCGCATCGGGCTCCCTGCTCCGCGGGAAGCCTGCTTCTCCCTCTGCCTCTCCCCCTGCTTGTGTTCCCTCTCTTGCTGTGTCTCTCTGTCAAATGACTAAATAAAATCTTAAAAAAAAAAAAAAAAGAATTAGAAAAGTGAGGAACCTAGAGGCCATACTTCCCCAGAACCCAGAAGCTGGGGCCCTGTCCCCCTCCTCCCTCAGACCTAGGAGTCCGGACCGCCAGCTCCTTCCCACCCAGACCCAGGAGTCCAGGGCCCCAGCCCCCTCCCTCCCCCAGACCCAGGAGACCCAACCCCCACCCCCTCCTCCCTCAGATCCAGGAATCCAGGCCCCCAGCACCCCCTCCCTCAAACCCCCGAGTCCAGGCCCCCAGCCCATTCTCTCTCATATCCAGGAGTCCAAGTCCTTATTCTTTTAGGATTTCAGACCAACTGGGCTCAGATTACTTGAGCTCCCAACCCATACCTTGGACACCAGTGATTCCAATTCCCTTCAGATCCCAGGGCTGAGAGGCAGCCACATGGACCTGGGGGGTGATCCTAGTCATCAACAGAGACCCTGCTCAGATAAACATCTGTGGCCTGCCTGAGACAAACGAAGGAGAGCAAATCGGTCTGTGTCCATCAGGGTGGCCTCTCCCCAGTATTCTTTGACCTCATAATGCCTCTTTCCCAGCCTGGCAGGAAAGCAGCTGGGTCATGAGGTTGGTGCAGACGGAACAGCCTAGCCTGCTCCTGCCCTGTGAGCTGGGTGGGCGGATACCAACCAGTGAGAACGAACATGAGTGGCAGCAGTCACTGGTCAGTAGGTGAGTCATGGGGAGATGGGACTGCGGAGCGTGAAGTCTGAGGAGTGGTTTCGGATAGTGTGGGGCCCAAGGGCTTCTGGGCGGATCAGAATGTGGGTCCACGGCATGGCCTCTAGGTGGCGCTGTGTAGCCCACCCAAGTCTTGTGGCTGTGCTTCTGTCCAGGAGGGAACAGGAAACCCACAGCCTGGAGATTAAGACACCCAGGGCAGAGACAGCCAGTATCTGGGCAGGACAGCAGAGCTCAGGAGGAGCCAGAATGGGAGGAAAAATAAAAGAGAGGGAAAAGCAAGAATGAGAAAACAAAGAGACACAGAAAACAAAACCGAGGGGGTGCCTGGCTGGCTCAGTCGGAAGAGCAGGTGACTCTTGATCTCGGGGTCCTGAGTTCGAGCCCTGCGTTGGGTGGAGAGATTACTTAAAAATAAAACCTTAAAAAAAAAAAACCAGAAATGGAAACCAAACTGAGAACAGAAATCAAGAACATAAGATGCCAAAATAGATATGATCATAAAGAGACCGATATGAGAGACAGATAGGGAGGCAAACTCAGTCGAAGTGAAGTCTGGAGAAATCTAGAAAAATGCCAAGGGTGAGATACGGAGAGGCTGAAGGAGGAAAAAGTAAACAATGACCAGATTTCAGGTGACAGCACAAAGTGAAACGAGACCCAGAGAAATGAGGAAAGACAGAAAGACAGCGATGCCAACACCTGGAGACAAACTTCTCAGAGATGCTTAGAGACAGAGTACATCCAAGAGAGAGAGAAGGGAGAGGCAGAAAAACACACAGGGCAATTGGGCAGAGAGAAGGAGCCGGGCAGTGTCCAGGTTGTACATCAGCACTGGCCATCAAGACCCTCTTGCCCTGAGAGAAGCTGCTTTCATCCCTCAAGGACATTTCTGTAGGAGCGGGGGTGGCGGGGTCTCCCCTCAGCTCAGGGAAAGTGCTCCGCTATCTGACACCCCAAGCCATAGGGATTGGGACAAGGAGTGTGAAAAGATTGGGGCTGAATTAAGAAACAAGGAAGAGTTGGGGGGGAGGGGCACAGAGCAGGGCTCTGCAATGTGATGGAGCCTCCCCCGTGTCTCATTACAGCCTAGGACTGTCCCCAGCACAGTCCAGGACCATTCTCTCAGCACAGCCCTGGAACGTCACCATCAAAGTCCAGGACTGTCTTTGTCATAGTTCAGCACCGTCCTTCATGCTTCAGGACTGCCCCCCCCATCACAGCCCAGGAAGGGTCCCCCTTGTAATGCAGTGCTGCTGTCCTTTGTCTCAGCCAGGGGCTGTCCCTATCACAGGCCCAAAGGGTCCCAGTCAAAGCCCCAAATTGTCCTCGTTGTGGCCCAGGACCGATCCCATCACATGTAGGACTGTCCCATGATAGCCCAGGACTCTCCCATCGCAGACCAAGACTGCTCGATGGCAGCTCGAGACTCTCCACCATCACAACCCCAAACTGTGCCTGCCACTGCCCGGGACTCTCCCACCACAGCCCAGAAGTGGCACCATCAGAGCCTGGATGGTCCCAGTCATAGCCCAGCGTCAGTCACCCCAGACTCGGAACAGTAACAGTGTGCCCTGCCCTCCATCAGGCTGGGGTAGGAGTCCCAGACGGGGTCAGGGGCAGAACTGGACGGGAACAACACTTCTCCCAGGGTGAAGCTGCCTCTGTGCACGGCTGTAAAGATCCCTTCTGTGAGCTGTTAGCGTTTCTTTCCTCGCTGAGAAACTCTGTGCTGTAAAATCCCGCTCTCCAAAACTCTGCTGGTCGTTTGCTTCTGGGTAAGAATGGACCGGGAGGATCTGTCTGTGACAGTCGGAAGCTGGCTCCCTTTCCCACCCTGATGCGCAGCTTCAGAGAAGAGCTTGCAGGGACAGTCCACATACATCCTAACTTTTAGTTCCAAGAAAACGGGGCCTTGGGTCCAATTCCCAGTCCAGACCTGAGATCTGCGCCTTCGTCCTACCCGCACCCCTAGAAGTTGGTGTCTTATCCCGGCGCCCCCACAGGCTGGCTGTTATCCCTTCCTTAACCGCACCCCCCCCCCACGCAGCCCTGCGCCTGTCCCATTAACTGTACCCTCCTCCATGTGTCCCTCCTACCTCCCGCTGTCGGCCCCGTCCCACCAGCCACCTCCCTCCACCTCCCTCGCCCTTAAAGCCTCGAGCTCCTCTCCAAGGGGCCCCCTCCCTCTCGGCGCCCCGCAGCGGAACCCGAGCGCCGGGGGCGCGAAGCCGGACGGGGCCGGGAGTAGTGATCCACCCGGAAGTGGGCCTCCCCCGCCTCCCCACCCCTTCTCCCGTTTCCCCCGCCTGGGGCCGCGAACCCACCTGCCCCAGCGCGGCTGCGGCCATGGTCGGTGCGGCGGGTAACTGTGCCCGCCCCGGCTCCGGAGCGGGAGAAAGACGTTCCGGCCCCGCCCCGCTCACGCCCCCTCCCGCGGGCGGGCGGCTTGCCCTACGCCCCAGGTGGGTCGGGCCGCCCCAATTGTAGGGCGCCTGCGGGGAGCTGGGCCCTGCTAGAGAGCGCATGCTCTGGAATCCGCGGGGCTAGGGGAGTACATGGTCATGCACCCTCCTCCCAACCCCCACCCAGATTCCGTTCCAGCCACACAACTGCTGCGCAACACAGTGCATGAAGTTTTTTTTTTTTAAATGCATTTTAATAGGTACTGTCACGACGCTAACGAGGATAAGCAGCCCGAGGTAAGAACTGAAAGGCCAGGAACAGGAACCTCCGCATGTCTCCATCCCTTGGTGATAAGGCAAAGCACTCGCTGTTAAGTGTCCTTAAGTGTCAGTGGGTGCGTGTATCATGTAAATGAAAAGGGAAAGGACTTTGGAAAAAGGCCTCTGAAGAGGGTAGCAGGTAGGGATGGATGAAGGAGTTGCAGCCAACCCCTGTTTGAATATAGTTTTTCTTTCCAAGGAGAAAATGTATGTGTGTTCGTTGTAACTTTTTAAGAGATACAACACACGTGGGGCAGCTGGGTGGCTCAGTCCGTTAGGCGTCAGACTCTTAGTTTCCACTCAGGTCATGATCTCAGGGTCCTGAGATTGAGTCCCACACAGCGCAGAGTCAGCTTGGGATTCTCCGCCTCTCCCTCCCCCTCTGCCCCTCTTCCTAGCTCGCATATGCACACTCTCTCCCTAGAATAAATAAATATCTGAAATAAATAGGGGTGCCTGGGTGGCTCAATCGGTTAAGCCTCCAACTCCTTATTTCAGCTCAGGTCATGCTCTCAAGGTCGAGAGATCGAGCCCCTCGCCTGGCTCTGCGCTCAGCTCAGAGTCCGCCTGTCTCTCTCCCTCCGCTCCCCGCCCCCACTTGCACTCTCTCTCTCTCAAATGAATAAATATAATTTAAAAAAATATATACAACAGGGCGCCTGGATGGCTTAGTCAGTTAAGCATCTGCCTTCAGCTCAGGTCTCAGGTCATGATCCCGGGATCCTGGGATCGAGTCCCGCCGGGAGCCTGCTTCTCCCTCTCCGCCTGCCTGCCTCTCTGCCTACTTGGGTTCTCTCTCTGTCAAATAAGTAAAATCTTAAAAATAAAAATAAAAAGATACAACACACATGGTTCCGGTCCCATCAGTGAGGCCCAAAAAAATTTTAATCCACCAACGCATGAGTGAGCCTCTAAGAACAGCCCCTAGAGGCCCCAGGGAAAGGTTACCTGGTTATGCCCCCTTGTGAGTGTCTCCCCAACTACAGGACCCCCAGGGGCAGAGTTAGCTAATTACAGTTCATCAGGATCCCTCTAATGCCTAGCAATTCAAACCTGCATTAGTACCCCCTATACCGAACTCCTTGGTCACTGTGGCCCCAAAACCTCCTGTGGTCAGAGTTCCCCCAACTCCTGCATCCGGATTACAAGGACCAAAATCTTTTTCCTGTCGAGTCTTCAAACTCCGATTCCTGGGCCACCGCGCCTCCACAATTCTACTCTGGGATATTTTGCCCCCGAATTCTGTCCCCGGGTGACTGTCGCCCAGCCCTAACAGCCACAGGCCTCGGCAAAATCCCAGCCCTCCCCCCTCAGAGTATCATCCAGTTTTGCTTCCTACACCCCAGTCCTCTCCCACAGCCTGGCCTACGGCCCGAGGGGCGTGGCGGCCACGACCGCGCCCTCCCCGCTTCAGCCAATCAGCGATTGCCGCACACACCCCCGCGGCGGCCAATCCGCAGCAGTCATGCAGGCCCACCCCCTCACTGAGGAGATTCAACCCAAACTGGGCCCCGCGCCCCTGGGGGAATCCAGGGTCCGCCCTTCCGTAACTGGGGAGTCCACGCCCCCTATGTTTCCTTCTCCCCCAAACCCAGGAGTCCGGATCCCAGCGCCTCCTCCCTCTGACCCAGGACTCTCAACCCTAGCTGCTGCTTCCCGCAGAACTTCTGGACCCCTACCCTCCTACTCCTCAGCCAGCGAGGTCGAATCTCCTTTCCCTTAAGGACCAAGAATAACGAGGAGGTCCTTTTGTTTCACCTCCACTATTATCTCCTAATAGGGTTTAATTTATTCTCCCCTGCGGGCCTTTGCATTAACAGGGGTGAAGCCAACGGCAATACTTTTCCCAGGAGCCTGCTGCAAGGCCTGCCGGGAGTTGTAGCCCCTTGGGTCGAGGCTACGCGTGGGAACCCGTGGGGCTGGGAGCGGGGACGCGGTCCCCGCGTGGCAGAACTCAAGGGCAGAAAATAAATGTCATGACGCCCTCCTCCTGGCTGCAAACTCCTTTTATGGGAACTTGCGGGGTAGTTTGGCACATTGGTAAGTGGAGTTAATGTCTAGAGCTGGGGTCTGCACCTAAGAGGCAGATGGTAGACGCTGCAATCTGGGAGACTGAGCTTGGGGCTGGAGTTCTAGTCAGGAAGGCCCAAGTGGAAATGTGGGAAATTAGGAAGGGATGGTGGGGAGCTCCACGGGGGTGCCCGGAATGGCCTTGCGCCCATACCCCAGCTCTGCACCCCCGCTCACAAGCAGCTCAATCCCAGTGCAGAAGTTAGCTTCGGAGGCCAGGAACACGGCAGCGGCCCCCACGTCAGCGGGCTGGCCCATGCGGCCCAGGGGCTGGGGAGAGACCAGGGGAAGAGGAGACCAAGTGAAGCACCTGGTCTGACTGCCGCGCCCTAAGCCACTCGCATACCACCTCGATCTGGCCCCCACTCCCACCTGGGCCAATGTGCCCTCTTGGACTGTAGCGGTGGGGTCAGGCGTTGAGGCTGTCAGCTCCTCCCACAGTGGGGTCCAGATGTTTCCTGGGGAAATACTGGGGGAAGGGAGAAGAGGGGATCAGGGAAGTGTGCCCTAAACGTGGCCTCTTCGGCTCACTCCCAGCCTTCTCTGCCCACTTGGAGCTGCTCACCAGTTGACCCGGACGCCATATCGACTCTCATCCAGGGCCAAGGCTTTGGTCATGGCTGTTACTGCCCCCTGTGGAAGATGATGGCGGGGGCGGGGAGTTCAGTCCAGGGAAGACGAGGTCCCTCTTTTTCTCTCCTCCAACAAGGGGGTGTCAAGCTGGGGCATCAGAATGGGGAGGTCATGCCTTCCCTGCTGGCCTCCATGGGATGCACCAGGCTCTGTTTCCTGGGAGACACTTGGCGCATAACAACACGTGCCGCGGGTTGTCATGCTTCAGGGCTGAGGTACCTGGAAGGCCTGGTAGGGAGTGAAGGAAGGGGTAGGGTACCTTGGTGGCCACATAAGGAACTGCCTGGACCTGGCCAATGGCGCCCACCAGACTGGAGATGTTGATAACGTTCCCCTGGCTCTTCCGCAGGTGGGGGAGGGCAAGCTGGGGAGACAGAAGGCAAAGTCAGCCACCTGAGCCCCTGGGTTCCCCCAGCCACACTGAAAACACATCCTTATGCCTGGGCCAAGGGCCATTGCCCTGGTATGTTCCCTAATGGATCTCTGTGCCTTGTAGGGACAGCATTCTAGAACTCGAGAGAGCACCTTCACTGGTTTGCCCCAGGGTCTCTGGGTCTGCTTAAGGAATCTCTCCATGTCCGGAAGGCATTTTTTCTCTGTCTCCTCTACTACCTCTCTCTTTCCCTCCCTCCCTTTGTGTCCCTGCCCCCCTCCCCCACCACCCTCCCCACCTGCCCCCCCAACCCCGTCCCAGTCGCCCCCTCTCTCTAGGCCTCTGTCTCTCCCACCCCAGGTCTTTATATGTTACTCAAACTCAGGTCCAAATCAAGATAGGAAAATGCAAGATGGCTGCATATTTTGCAAAAATGGGCAGAAGCTCTTTTACCCACGAGGGGAAGACGGTATCTCTGAATTTTAGGGAGAACTCTGTGGTCAGAATGTGATGTGGGAGACCTTCATGAAATGCACCCATTTTACCAGCTTCTCCCCGGCAACTCTCTGGCTCCCCGGAGGTCCCTAAACTACTTCTTTCTCTCTCTCCTCCCTTCCTCTGCCTCTCAGCTCTTTCACTACACATGACCTTGAATAAATTCAAATTCTATCCTTCCCCTCGCTTTCCTTTGACAGCTGAGCTGGCCTGGCAAGACCTGTTCCTGCAGTTAAAGATTAATGACTATAAGCAGGTTCCCTTAAGTGGTTTCCAGAGTGGGAATCTAAATTAGCTCCCTCTCTGGGTCACCCCATCAGCTCTTTCAAACGTTCTCCACTCCCTCAAAAACAGCCTCCACCTTTTCTGAGGACCATAACTTCAAACATACCCTACGCGTTCCAACCTCAGGGCCTTTACACTTGCGGTTCCCTCTGTCTGGAGTACTTTTCCTCTGATACACATGGGACTCACTCCTAGGGTGACCAGCCATTCCGATTTGCCCAGGACTGAAGCGCTTCTGAGGACGTAGGACATTCCAAACACTTTCAGAACTAACCTGGGACAGTCCCAGGTAAACCTAGTCCCTCAACAATTCCAAATCTTGTTCAAATGTCACCTTCTCAATGAGGCCAAACCTGAGTGTCCTATTTATTTATTTAAAGATTTATTTATTTGAGGGGCGCCTGGGTGGCTCAGTCGTTAAGCGTCTGCCTTCGGCTCAGGCCCTGATCCCTGACCCGCGGGAAGCCTGCTTCTCCCTCTCCCACTCCCACTGCTGTCTTCTCTCTCTCTCACTGTCTCTCTCTCTCTCTGTCAAATAAATAAATAAAATCTTAAAAAAAAGAAGAAAAAATAAAACTGCAACCTGCCTACCCCTAGGTCCCCATCCTATTCTTGATTCCTTTTTTTTTAAAGATTTTTTTTAAGCTTTTTATTTATTTATTTGACAGAGAGAGAGAGAGACAGCAAGAGCAGGAACACAAGCGGGGAAGTGGGAGAGGGAGGAGCAGGGAGCCCGACGCGGGGCTCGATCCCAGGACCCTGGGACCATGACCATGACCATTCCTCTGTCTCTCCCACCAGAATGCAAAAACTCATGAGGGATGGTTGCAATTTCTTACTTTGTTTCACCCCTGGTATTCAGGTGTCTGTCATGTAATAGGTGCTC